TGATATGACGCCCTGAGGAGGACGGTGTCACTTGCGGGATGTTCTTGCCCAAGAGGCATCGGCTGCATTTAACGCGGAGGAAACATCAGCCTCGCCCAAAANAGGGTATGGTATTTCCCTTTAACAAATGATTAAGCAAAGTGTGAACCTATTTAGAGAAAATATCAAGTTGACTCAGGCAAAAAAAAAAAAATCATTGATTGATGCTGAAATCACAATGAGTTTTTAGGAAACAGGGCATTTNTGTGAACCTATTTAGAGAAAATATCAAGTTGACTCAGGCAAAAAAAAAAAAATCATTGATTGATGCTGAAATCACAATGAGTTTTTTGGAAACAGGGCATTCGCATGGCTCAGCATATGTCCCCACAGGTTACTTACTAATTACAAAGGAAAGAAAGGGGGGACTTTTACAGCGGGGAATCCTGGGGCCCCTACCTCAACCAAGTGGTCAAAATTCACATCCCCGTTAATGGGACAAATGACATCATGGGCCCTGATATGACGCCCTGAGGAGGACGGTGTCACTTGCGGGATGTTCTTGCCCAAGAGGCATCGGCTGCATTTAACGCGGAGGAAACATCAGCCTCGCCCAGATGGAGGGAAATTCTACGAGACAACTGGCCCGCACCCTCCAACCACGCCGGTGTCATGAGGAACAAAGAGAGGGCGAGGGACGTCTCAGATTAAAGACTGTTGAGGAGATGGGACGACTATGTGACAACCTTCTTCTGGGCTGGGAAACGTGGCTGGGACTCCCGGGGGGACCTGAGCATGAACTGCACATCCGGCGACGGCCGTGTGCCAGTTACAACTCTCCGAGCTTCCTAATTGTTCCCTGGTTCTGCTCGAGAGCGTCAGGGTCTTCAGGACACACACACTGAAGTCCCCCCGCTGAGGGGTCCTGACGCCCGCTGCCGCTCTCAGGGGGTTCAGTGAAAATGACCGTACGCGTTGGCGCGAGTGTGAGGGAGAGGGGACCCCGAGATGGCCCTGCGAGATCGGGTGCATCTGATGAAAGGCAGCCGTGCGGTTCACTTGCAACTCTCCCGTAGGCTTGACGTTTTCTAAAATAAAATCTTTTTGAAAAGACAAAGCAAGTACCGGTCACGAAGCGCAGGTGCGCTGTGCAGGCGGTGACTCCTCAAGCTGAGGCC